TTTTACAACTTGCATGCTCTACGACACTATTTCATTACGATATTTACAGAACCTTCAGAAGGATACTAGTAGAATTTTTTAGTCGTGACCTGAAATATTTCTACCAAAAACTGATAAGGAAGCAACAAAATTCTCTCTTACTTGTGTCTCCATCTAGGCTCTAACGTTTTATTTTTTCAATATCATCCCGATATTCATTTTGGTATTTATTACCCGGCATTTTAAATTTATCTGCCGCTTTCGCCTTTGGATCTGCTCTATTACTTGATGAAACTCAGACAATACAACATAAGAAAGTCAAGCCAATAGGAACTCCTAACAAAGTTGGCTTCATCATGGACAACATAATGGTTGGGATTCAATCATTCAACCATATATATAAAATTAAAACAAGGTAAATATAAGAAGAAACCTTTTTAGCAAAATATTCAAGACGATTGTCATCAGCCTCCACTATTGACTTTGTATCAAAACGCTCATAAATCTGTAACAATTGAAAGGAAAAATAACATAAACATGAGCAAACTTAAATAACTTTACGTCCCAGCAAGACAATTAATATATGATCCAAGATTCAACACATTAAATAGCAAAATAACTAAGGATAAAGCCTCTATATTTTGGGATCATGTAGACACAATAAGGCTTCATTAAATTCAAGTTAAGCAGGTAGTGTGTTGTTATTAGTGTGGTTGTGACTTATATTTGTCACAGAAATAACCTAGAGTAACTTGTATGATTTTCAAGAATGACTTCATTCCATGCCTCAAAAGTATTTCCAAAACCTAAATTTTATTTGTGAAAAATTACACCATGGAACTAACACACTTGAGTTCTGATAATTAAATTATTTGTTGTTAGTCACCATGATGCCCTTGCAATTAGATAGGCGAAAGGTAAAGAAGGAGTTTGGCCAGCAGACTGATTGACAAGGGCCCATTTATGAAACTTTAATACTAAGATATCAAAACAATGATAACAAGAAGATTAGAAAGAATAAAAATGCAAATATAAGTATGATAATGTTAATCATTGGATAGAAAGTATTCAACTAAGATCTGTCTTTTTAAAATGTTATAAATTAACATATTGAATTCTCTTTTTGCATTGTTAAGACAAGAAAATAACGTTGAAAGTAGGCAATGTATACAATTATTTTCTCTAATTAATAAGCTTAAGAAGTCATACTCATGACCACAATCCTAGTTATTGCAATGCTTTATTAGGATAAGGATTATATGAATGGACACACCTGCCGTACTTGAAGCAGAATTTTCGGAAGAACACCTTTATAACTGCATTCCAACTTTACCTGCAAATACAAATCTTTACACAAGTACCTTCTGTGGTCCAACAAACGACAGAAAAATAACCAATGTCCGAAAGGGAAAACATCTTGGTAACTGCACTATGCAAAATCTCAGTAACCATATATTTTGGCAAAATAGTTTCCTGCTTTTATGTATCTCTCCAGAACCTCAATAAAAGCAGAAGACAAGCACACCAGAGGTGGGAATTAGTTTCCTGCTTTTATGTATCTCAGCAGAACCTTATTAAAAGCAGAAGACAAGCACGCCAGAGGTGGGAATGGAAAAGCTTAAATATTGTTTGTACTTAGTGTCTAAAGAGCCGAAATAATTTGAAGAGAGAAAAACCATGCAGTTAAGAGTGTGATAATTTTTTGAACACAGAAGCAACCGAATCAGTCAAATCTTAGTACATAGTCATAAACTCTATAGCACAGACACTTCAATTAGGGTAGCGTGTCAGACACGAGTCGATACCTACATTTCTCGAACACTCTAGCGTAATCATTTTTCTTTTTATATTAAAAATATTATATATTGTTAATTCAAAGTTATTCGCAAGTAACAAATAGGTACTCATGTTTAAAAGATTTTAACAAGAAAAATTAATAAGTATAAAACTAAATTTATACTATA